AAGAATAAGAGACCGTGAGAACCGGTAAAAGCAGACAGTCTGCTTTTACCGGTTCTCACGGTCTCTTCACTTGCAGAATTCTTATATTGTTTCTTCTACCCTGAAGATGGAGGCCATACGTTCCTCCGAAACGTCGGTTAGCACCACATATACACGGTGCCAAATCCCAGAAGACTGCTTTCTTCGTTCCATATCTTGCCATTATTGTTCCTTGTAATGTTCCAAATGCATATAACAGTTTTTCCTGCTTTGTTCTCATTTCGTTTACATTCGGTTTACAGCAGGCCTGTGCCTTTTGAAGGAATATCCTCTTGCATTTTGTTTTTCATCTTTTGGGTTTGGTTGTCCTGGACTTCTGAAAGAGGAAGAGAAGAAAATGTCACAAAATGCACAATCTGTCTTCTTGTGGGTCTTCTCAACGGTATCAGTACTTCAGGCATTGAAGTCTGCCACTGCCTGACACATTGCACTAACCACTCTCATTGTATCATTGAAACAGCCTGGTTTCGTCACAGATGACCACACCGTGCGAAAAATCTGGATGTTCTATAATTTTTCCAAAATATCAACATGAACTTCTTTTCCTTTTAATTTGTGTTCTGTGTTCAAATTCTTTGGCACAATTTTGGGGCAGCACTTTTCTAATGTTCAGATTTTTCGTTTCAGTTTGTTTTGAATACTGAGTATTGACATGGACAGATTTTGGTCACTCCCAAGCACTCAGATCCCCTTCAGTTTGCCTTAGGCATATTTAATTCTGCTGCCATTCTGATACTCAGACAGTGATCAATTTATAGAGGAATCCTCACTTTTTCGACTTGTCAGTTTTCACCATTGCCAGATGACTAGGTTGTTTATCATCATTCATTTCTTCTCTTCCTTCTAAAAACACTATATGCCATTCTCATTAGGACATCATCTTCATACGCTTCATTTAGCAACTGTTATGTTTCAGTGGCAGTTTTTTCATCTCTTTTTTACATTAGCATATTTCTGACACACAGGGACACACTTCTTCATATAAAGCTGTGCAGCACAGTTCTAAGTGAATGTGTTGAAATGTGCTCTAGCGCACAGCAACAGGAAAGTTCAAGGTTAACAGCCATGCATTCTGTTTGTGGGTTGGGGAATAAGTTACAGAGCTGTACATATGGTTTTGTTATTTAATAGCCACACCTTGTATATAAGATGTAAAAGTTTGTGGCAATGGTACATTAATACAAATATTATTATGTTTCTGGACGTTATCCAGCATCCTGTTTTTATTTAGAACACATAGAGTTTCGGAGACTGGATTCTGTCCCATCGTGAGGTGGAGCCTACTCATTTGGGCCCACTTGATAGAACTAGTCCTTATCTACCCCCAAAGGTTATTGACCCATGAGTGTGTGTGCCGAAAGGGAGCATTAAGAGATGCAATTTATTTTTCGAAAAGTAACATGTTTCTGCCTTCCTACTATTATATCTGGAAGATCAGCAGGACCCTGCATGAGAAATAGCATAAACCACTGTGTTTCACTAACAACTGCACTCAGTAATGTCACTGTAAAATGACAAATGACAGGAAGTCACGTTGCTCCAGTTTCATGTCGGGTGTGCTTTGTTCCCTGAAATTTTCGAAGCAAATGTCAGGCTGTGGCTAACAGCACTATCACTGACCAGCCAGGTCACCAAAGGTTCAATATGTGTGGGGACCCATACTGGCTGCAGGCAGAAGTCAAGGATCAACTGGGTCCGTCACAAGTTGACAACTGGAAAAGGTGGTTCATATAGAAATCATCTTCAACCTCCCTCTTCTTTCTCTCACACATTAGTTATATTGGGATACCAATTCTGTAGCCTCCCTGAAGAATAAACAGTTATGCAGTGCAGTTTTCTTCAGCCTTTAGTGAAACTGGGAATTTTATTAAATGCTGGAACAGTACCTTATGCAGAAACATGAATCTTCAATAATTACAATTTAAAGTATTAGAATTCAAGAGAAATGCTAGTATTATTTATATTTATAGGAGCTGCACATTATCTGGTTATGGAACTAACTCCCATACAAGACTGATGACTGGTTACGGATCAAAACAGCCTATGGTATCTTACATATAAAAGCAAACTGACAGTTATTCAGGCATTTATATTTATCTTGTATACTGTGGTTTGTTTATGAGGATGATGGACTTTAACCTTTAAACGACAAAAGACACCGTATGTCGTCGCAGATATAAAGGCAGCGGTACGAATGACGCCATGTGGTGTCGCAAAGTCCGCGCGTGCGGACGTTATTTGAAATACATTTTTAAGGTAGAAAATAATGTCCTACTTATATAATTTTTGGCCACCATCTGCATGGA